ACAAAATAATACAGCTCTAATGAACTGTTCTTATTTTGTGCGAATGTTTTTCATTTTCTCAGGTTGATAACTATTCTATCCGATCACATAAAATGGTATGAATTTTATGCCTCTATACACATATATATATATATATTTGAAGGATTCAGCGTCGTTTGATGATTGAAAATGAAGAACTTCATTCTGAACTGATACTGGTTGCTGCTGGAGTACCTGGAAAGCGCTTTGTACCCGATAAGGTTATAACAAACGGTGAACGGTTGCTCCGAGAAAATCAGGCCCTTGATATTCTTATATGGTTGATTGACAATTGGGTTATTATGGATTCTTGGTAATATATTTTTTTTAGTGGAAAAAAGATATTTTTTAGTCATTCTTGCATTTTCCTCTTAGGTAATATATTTTTGAACTTTTAAGGCATTTGCTAAAGTCTGTTCTACAAACATTATCTGACAATATAGATGCGGTATTATTTAATGGGTTTGTACGTTCACCGAGGCCTATTGCTCATAAATGGTGTTCGTTAATAACATATTTGTTAAGGTTTGTTATGTTGAATCTGATTTCATTTTCAGGTTTTATTGAGTTAAACTAAATGTTTTGGTTTTTTTAAACTTTATATTTATATTTGTTTTCTAAATATTTTGGGCAATTTTATTTTATATCTAAATATTGTAAATATATTTTATGTATATGTATATATTTAATTTGGTTTAATTCATTTTTTATTTTCTCAAACACTCTCTTTCAGGATTTCTTGTAGGGAAAAATATTCTATCGATGCTCATGAAAATATTCTATTTAAGCTTATAAGTGGTTTGACAAAAGTCGTTGAAAAATTATATGCTGTGAAAAATGCAGGATCTTTACACTGGTTATTTGTAACTATTTTTGCAGCCGTCCAGGTTCATCTTATTCTTTATTTCATTTTTTTTTTAGAATTTTCTAAAACTTATCATTTTGAAGAAAGGTTTCAGTAGCGAGTTTTAAATTTCGCCTTCTCTCTTTGATGACAAATTTTCAAACTTTCAGAAGGCAGTTTTGTCACAAAGTGATAGTCTCAAAGCTGCTATATTGCTCCTAAAAGAATGTGTGACCACACTCACTTCGATTGGAGTTGCTTGGGAGCTGACTAATTGTCCTAATGTGTACAATGTTTTATTCGAAAAATATTCTTTAAGTGGACGACCTTTAGATCTTGTATTTTTTCAAATTTTCTTATTGTGACCATATTTAATGCGTTTAAAAATTTCAAATATATCTCAAATATATTCGCCTCAAATTAAATCTTAGTCATATCTTAAAATCATATAAATTTTTAATCGATTAATCTGAAATGCTTAAGGTTATGTATGATTGGCCATCAACAACTCTTTCTGTTTGGCAAAGGTTTCCGACAACAGGTTGTTTATATGGTAAATTTTCATAAATTGATGAAAAAATTTCCAAAAACTTTTTATTTGAACTAATTTCAATAAGCTGAATATAAAATGGAACCAGAATCTGAAATAAATTTTTTAAGCTAGTGGTCCAAGTTCTATTTCTCCTACTTTTCCGCCCTCAGGCATTTCGTCCACCACCTTATCAAAAATAACTAAAATGGTAACGAAATCCGCATCAAACTCGACAGTTTCACCCGGTGCATCAACAAATTCTTCGCTTTTTCCTGCTCCGTCCATGACAAGTTTTTTGAATCCCATTTTTACTAAGGTAATTATTCCTTTCTTTTTTAATTTATTAGGATCATTTTAACGATATAATTTTTATCTTTATAAGGGACGTCAAAAATTTTGAGGATGAAATTGGTTGGGATGAACTTTTCAACGTTGCAGCGCAAGAGTCAATCTTTAATTTATTGCCAAAATTTTTTTGTGAAGGTTATTCTCTTGAAATTCATTTTGTTCTTTCAAAAATCTTTGGTTTTATTCAGTTTTGCCAAAATAAGGAGCGAGTAGAAGTATATATAAAGAATCCTTTTCTCATTCTCTGGTCCTTTGCCAGAAGCCTGGGAGTTTGAAGGTTCTGCGCTGTTCTGGACGAAAATCTCTGATGTTGATCTGGACTTTATTGAAGTCTCTTTTCATTTAAGGCTCACTCTTATTGGTCCTGTTACCATTTAGACTACTATGGCCTGCACTGTCCACATTTCCTCTAGTTCCTCTTTCCTCTTTCAGCCGCTTTTATTTTTTTCTTATATTCCTTCTTCCTAATGTTCCTTTCATTTGATATTGCTTCATCTATCTTCAGTGCTCATTTTCGTTTCTCGCTACTATCGTGACGCCTGATTGACTAGCCTGATTTGCATTTGTATGGAGAAATCTCTCAGGAATTTGGTTTTATTATTCTTTAAGATTTTCTCTTTCATCTGGTTTTAGAAGGTCTAAGGTCTAAGTTCTAAAAATGTTTAATATTCCTGCAGATAATACCATCTATGTGGTTATGCCTTTCAGTGAATACGTTTTCTGTCTTGCCACTGTGTATGGTACAATTTTTGAGGCGTTTTTGCAGTTTCTACCTTGAGTTGTGTTAGCTAATTTCGATGGATCTGGTGTTTAATATCTGTTTCTTTTATACAGCGTGTTTGAATCACTAATAGGGTTTCTCATCCACCTCAGCATTCTATCGATGGTGCTTTCCCATTTTGCTTTTTGTTTCACAGTGGTACTTCCTCTGCTTGGTCTTTGTCTGTTGTCTGTAGATTTTTCAAGCATTCTCTCAACATCTCATCCTCGATGCAAATATATTTCTGAATTCTTTGGGTTTCTTTCAATACATTGTCTGGCACACCAGTCCCCATCCACCTTTTTTCTGGTTTTTAAATAGCCCTTAGACTTGAGAAATTTCCATGTATTTTGAAGAGTTTTCGGATTTTCATATCGGCAGCTTCCATGTTATCACCATCTCACTATGCCACCGGTCTATTTGATGACTTGCAGAGCGCATGTTTATTGCATGAGTTTTATATGAATATAAATATATAAATAAATATAAATATCATATAAATATTTTTTAAGGTGCAGTGCAGTTCAATCAATCAGGAAGCGGTGCTGGGAGTCGAATCACTCCTATTAACTATGATCCAAATAATTATAAAGGACCAAAGCGGAAATTAATTTTATCGTCATCACAGCTTAGTGGTCTGTTGGAAGTAGAGCCTTTGACATTCACATGTATTGCTGCTTCCGAAAATGTAAAAGTCGAAAGTGAAACAGGTATTTCGCACACCTCAGAAATATTAATTATTAATTAAGGCAGTAGAAAAAATTATTACTTCCATGCAGATTCTTTTTTTTTTTTGAATCCCTTAATTTTCATGAATCTTCTGTTGCAAGAAAATATTGTTTTAAAAATATTGTTTATTCATAAATAGGCTCATCCGTAATTATTAATTCATCAACATCTGCTGCAACCGATCAGTCAAACATTGTACTGATGAATCAAGCTAATTCAATAAATAGCAATCCTTCATTAAAGTCAGGAGCTTTGTCCAGTTACTTCAGAAATTCACAACAGGTATCTTAAAAAATATAAAAATAGCTTTATAAATTGGAGATGCTTTAAAGTGTTGCCATAAGCATATGATCATTTCTATTAATAATTCGAATTTTTTTCTATCGTTTTCTGACGTTTTGTTTAATTGAAAAATAGATCTTCGAATTGAAATAATATGTATATATATATATATCTTTTGTTGAAGTCACCTTGGTTGGTCGACTCAGGATTTCAATCAGATCTTCAAAGTCTAAGTGATAGAATGCGCCAAATAGCACTGGAACAATCTAAAACGAGTGCCATAGTTCCTGATCAAAGCAGTCAAGGTAATTTTTTTTGTCCTTATCAATTTTCGAGTTTTTGATGAAAGGACATTTGGAATTTATTTTTCATGTTACTAAAACCTGATAAAGAAAAAAATAAAATTATAATATGTTGTATATAATATAGTATATGTTGTATATAATCTAAATATTATGTTGTATCAGTTAGTTATATTTTCAAAGCCTTTTAGACCTTCCATATTTTTTTAACAACTTCCTTGAAACTTTATGCCACATTGAAAAATTTTTAAATTTCACTCTTCAAAACTCTCATAAATTTCCTTAATGTTCTACCAGACTGCCCATACTTTTTTATCAGGAGGATTGCCTTAAACATTAAATCTTATCTCAATCACTCACACTTCATTATATTTTCTTTTAGATCTACTCTACAATCTGTTTTTTTAACTATTTTTTTATGTTAAAATGAACTGTCTTCTGAAGATCGCTTACATTGTGTTGATGTATCTAATTCTACCCTAACATATTGCAAAGTGTGCTTATTTTAATATATTATAAACATCCCATTTTCCACTGAATTTCTTAAAATGGTCTAAATAAATGATCTTTTTGTGTATTCCCACTAATCTTTTGCAGTCATCGAACTAAATAGTGTAAACATCGTTCCATCGCTGTTCTTCCAAACCTAATTGTATTCCCTTAACACCATTCTCTTATGCCATTTACTTCATATTTTGTTCTTCTAGCGCTTTGTCAAACCTTACATATAGCAAGGATAGAAGAGTTCAAATTAATGTTAAGGAAATATAGCGGATTTTGAAGAGGCACAACATTTTCTTTTCTCTTTATCCTTTTTTTTAGATAAAAAGTGCGATAAAGTGCGATTTTCGAAGATTTTTTTTGCATGAATTTTTTAGAGTTTAAAGTATGTAAATAAAAAAAGTCTTATGTCCTCTATTACAGCGGAAATAGCAGTGCAGGACAATAATTCTGCTAGCACCTTCGGTATACCTACTACTCCAAAAACAACTCCTTTCATGACACCCACTCCTTTATCACCTTCTCATCTTTCACCGCATGGTTCAGTAATAAATTTAAATTCACAGAAAGAGGATGCGCAGGTATCATTTTATTTTTGTTTTTTTGTTCATCTTTTATCCTGCTTGTGAATTATATGCCAAGTCACGTCACTTAAAAGTAAATGACTTTCAGATTAATGCCTCAATGGAACAAACGGTCGAAGCAAAAGTGGATAATAAAACGGAAACTCAGTTTTCACAATCTGCAGTAACAGTCGTACCTTCTGACCTTCTGAAACCGCCTCCTTTGTTGCTTTTATTAATCGAAAAGATGACTAGTGGTTTTTTTTTTGAATTTTTTTTTAAATTAAATCAAAATTCAGATTATTTCAGAATTTGTTGAAATGAATAAATGGTGGTATAATTCAATATCACTTTAGGCGCACGAAAATTTGTTGTACTTGATTTCGGTGTTCCTATACTTTTGACTGATCTAATTATCCCTTCAACCGCTGAAGTTGCGTCTGTTACTGTTGATGTATGGCTACTTGGTGAAAGTATCGATGGGCAAAGATTGTTATATTCATCAGAAATATCGAAAAAAAATGTTGTGTTACAAGATATTGCTCCCTTTATGTTAATACGATACCTTAAGGTTTAGTTAATTTAATTTAATTCTTGAACACCCCATTTTTCTCAACTTTTTGTCTTTACCATTATTGCAAATTTTCTATATTATAGTTAACTTATACCGGATGTCATATGTTCAGTCCAACATGTCGAATACCTCTTGGTATGTTTTTTGGTCATCGTTTTTTCTGTTCATGGCAACAGTATGCTTTTCCGGTCCTACTTAGTCAGTTTCCTTCTTGCCCAGCTCTCAGTTCTTCGCAGGATAGTCAGGTATTATTTGAATTTGGACTTGGATTTGTTTTTTTCATTTATCATTTTATTTCTATTTTAGTCTATCAGTTTGGTTCATCTTCAACAGTTCTCTGAGGATCTTAGATGTAGGCACCAGTTGGCCAGTGCAGAATTAAAACAATTGGTTCGAATTCGTTCCGATGAAAAAGAAGTATTTTATTTATATAACGAATGTTTACAGCTGCGTATTCAGTGGAATATTGTTCGAGGAGTGGTTAATCGGCTGGAATACGATCAGATGATAAATAAAGGTTGTTATAAATCTATATTACTTATATCTATGATTTTCTTTCATGACTTTAATTTTAAATAATTTTAAGAAAATTTATATTAAATTTTTGTAATTTACCGAATAATTTAGATGATGAACCTTTACAAAAAAGCTGGAAGGAATGCTGCTCTGATCAGTTAAGAATAATCGCTGAAGAATTATTTGCTTTATTGAGGCAGTGCTACTCTTTATTAGATGTACGATATTACTCAGACGCTAGTTCTAGTAAATTTGTTCCAGAGGTATTGCTGATTAATTTCCAAACTTTTTTATTTTTTGAATGTCAGGTACTTGTAGAACTTAAAATTTTGAGAAATTTTCTTTTTTACTGGTATTTATTCGAATAAGAATTTAAAAAGAGAGAAAAGAAAAAAATTGGTGAAAAGCACAAGTGCCTTATTTCTGCAACCGTGGTATCCATATCCATATTATCCATATTTTCTATTTTGAAGGCAGTGATTGAAACTATAACTAAAAAAAAAGAGAATTCTACTGCATTAAATGTTCCGAGCTTGGTTGATATTCGTTCACTACCACAATTTCTCGATTTACATGGAGCGTTGCGAATATTTGATCTTTTTTGTACACAAACAGTTCCTAAATTGCGGGTGCTTTTTTAATTATTTTCTTATTATCCACATTGTTATTAATTTTTATAGGCTTTTTTTTTAATTGCTCATTATTTAGTAGAATAAATTTGTTTCATTGGTAGGCTGAATGTGCAAGTTGGCTCTTGGTTCAAGGCGTTGAAATGGATTGGTGGCCAAAGTTCTTTCCTAACGTCTTAAAAAAATTTTTTTCTGCGTCTGGCAAAAGAGGAGATCAAGGGTTGGCAATTTTTGAAAATTTAGGATTGAAATCGTTGTTTTATGGTTAATTGCCTTTTTTCTTAATTTTATTATTGCTTTTTTTTATTTTTTACTCAATATTTATTGCAGATTATTTCTGCTCATTTCATTCCTGTGCTGCAGTTCATTCAGGCATACATTTAGGGTATATTGTAATTTCAAGCATATAATGAAAATTTCTTTTTGATTTCGTATACTTGAAATATATGCTATCTGTTTGAATAATAGCTTGCAAATTTGAAATTTTCTTTTCAAATTCATTTGTTTTTTATTTAATCATAGATTATAGGCGCAGGTGTTAATTGAATTATTGAAATTCATCGAGGAAATAATCAATAGAGTTTCCGAAAAATACATTGCAAACTCTAAGCTAGAGAATAATATGAAGCTTTGTGGCTTCGATTCAGCTCTTTTTTCTTGGACATTAATGCTTATTTCTAGTGCATTTGATGTCGCTGTTGCAAGTAAGATATTATAGTTTAATCATTTCCTTTCCAGTTCTTTCACTGTGATTACTCTTTTTTTTGGCGCCTTTTTTTGCTAATTTTTAATTTATTTTTTAACTTATATTTTTTAATTTTTTTAATTATTCTTATAGAGAAGCGGAAAACAGACCGATGGGCATTTTTGGCTGGTCAATACGCAACATGCAATGATAAAGGGAGCGATGTGATTCAAAAAGCGGGGAAAAAATGTAGATATCCCGCATTAGAGTCGCAAACAGTCGCTGGTCCTTCCAGTAATTTGTCGGTTATTTCAGCTGAACAAATGGTTCGTTTAAAATTCTTTTTTCGATTGATTTTGAAAAAAATGTCTCTCCCAGTTTTTTGTCATTAAGATGTTGCCCTTTTCTGTTTAATATGGCTTGCCACATTACTTAGTAATATTTTTTTGGTTTTGAGGATATAAAATGGCTGTAAAATTTAGATATTAATGTATACAAGAATTTGGCATAGAATTCAGTTTAAATTTCTAACCATTAGCAATGAAAGAATTTTGTTTTGAGAGCTTTAGATACTTATAATTTATAAAAATTCAATTGTTTGTTTAGGGAAAAGAATTGGAAATGCTATTAGAAAGTCATTTGCACATACTGCATTCTTTGAAAGCCCAATTAAAATTATCAGAATTTATTCATGAGAAAATGAAGAAAAAAGCTGAATCCGTTGAGAATCAAGTAAGCTTCTTTTTCTACTCGTAATATATAATTAAAATATATTTATTCATCTAATTCGAAACAAGATTGTGGTATGCAGATCTTAATTTCATGGTATCAGGATGAAAAAATGAAATTTAAGGTTTCTATTTACATATAATAAAGTGAAATATTCGTAAAATATGTCATTCTTTTTCTTATGGTAAAAATAAATTTTTTATCATTTTTTTCTTCTGAAATTTTTTCAGAACCAACATATTCCTGCTGGTACTTCTAAATCAGGTGATATGAATGTCGATTTGCCAAAAGTTCGTTTATTTTATTAAATTTTTTTATTTATTCTTTAAAAATTTCGATTTTGAAATAGTGGAATTGCAAAAATTTCAGAATAATGAAGAAATGAATGATTTTAAAGATAAGAATCTTGTTAATACAGGTATATTTATAATTTTAGACTATGTTAATTTTTTCAATCTCGCTTTTAAGTCCTTTAGTGAATTTGAAATCTCTTCTCTTAATTTTCTTTTCAATTTTTTCTTTAACAAACATTATTTATTATCATTAATTTTTGTGCAATTTATTAGATTAATGATGCATTTTTCATATTGGTTTTTCTTTAATGTTTTTTTTTTCAGTTTCTGATAAGCCGCCATTGTCAGCGAAATATCCGAAAAGTATTCGTTCGAATCGTCAGCGACAGTATAATATTCGGCTGAAATTGCCTTTGGATTTATGTCTTTCAGTTTCCCGTGGTCTTGTTAGGTTGTTGTGCGATCATTCTCATGAACTACCGACTGCTGGCCAATTATTAACCTGCAAGGTTCTACTCTTTAACAAAAATCTATGCGGTATATAAATAATTTATAATATAAATTTTTTAATGCGATTATTTATTTTTTATCTGGTAACTTTCTCTTACTGCAGATAATAGCTCGCTTATGTGCCAATGCCGCTCATCAGACGATTCCTTTAGTGTGTGCGCTCGATGAAAATATCAACAAGCTTTTAACTCTCGGTACGACTTATTTGTTGTAGGTAAGGCTGAATATTATGAGGATTTTTTTTATTAATTTTGTTTCAGGCTTACAGTTCAGCGATTCATCACTTCTTCGACAAGCTGTTTTGCATCTTATTTTGGATGTAATTGAAGCAGAATCGAGGTCGTTCGCGAAGATTTTTTCTGCACGAAATGTTGAAGAAAATGAAGGAGTAATTAATACTAATTTCGATTATGATAGTGTGGAAAAAGTTAAAAATCAATGTACGGAAATAACAGGCTTGGATTATGATACTATTGTTTTACAAGGTTATCTGCCGAATTATTCAGTTAAACTATTTATTTGTCTAATTTTACATTGAAGAATTTCTCTTAATTTTCTTAATAATTCTTTTCTTTCAGTTGAAAAACGATATCAAGAAGCTGTTGATCTTCCAGACAAAAAATCAAGTGGTATCACGGCACTAAAGAGTGGAATTGCTATACCATTCAGTGCCTGCAAAACTTCAGATCTCTTCAGTATCGCCAAGTATTTTCAAATTTTATATAAAACAATTTTTTTCTCTTCCATTAGAGAAGGAGGACTGAGACGTGTTATAAAAACCATTTTGTTGAAACTATTCAAAATTATTTCTAACTTCATTATTTCCCATGATAAAAATTTTTCCTATTTTTACTAATCATACTTCACAGATTACCAAGTTTTATTTTAACTCATATTTTGCTCTTGCTTTTATTTCTTATAGATTTTTTTCCTCATTAATAGCTTCTCAAAATATTATTGATTATTCGTCATTTTTATTATTATTATTTTTATTCATATTACTCACTAAATTTAGTTACGACGAATCGCCAAAGAATATTGCAGAATTTGATAAATTATTAATTCAAGCACTGAATCTGGTTTGCCCAATCAGTGTTAATTCTGTAGTCCCTGGACCAGTTCGATATTATGGTGTTCGACAATTGTAAGTAATTATAGGAGCATTTCCAAATTGAAAAATTAAGTAAATAATTTAAAATTTACTAACACAAAGGCTTTTTTCGTTGCATTTAAAATTTTTTCTTTAAATTTCGACTTCCACATATCGTTTGGGTTTCTTTTTAATTAACTCTTTAATTTCTTATTTCTCACATTTTATATTAATATATTTTGTAATTATTCTATATTAATGAAGGAGGATATTTATATTATTAGTTTATATTAATGAATTATCGTTTATCTTCTTTTTCATAGGCATAGCAAAATTTAACTGATGATGTGATAACTGAGGTAAAAAGTGCTATGAAATCAGTTAATTGTACTTATTATTTTCATATTCGAAATTATCAGCATAAAACCATTTTCTTTATTAGGTGTATCAGAATAAGTCGTTTGTATTATAACAATAAAGAACCATTTCATAATATGTTCTTTTGGATTGATACTGCTCGAGCTTTGGAATCCGAATTCGCATTATCTGCTGAAAATGTTCGTTATTTTCAAAATTAAAAATTGGCTTCCATTCCATTTCCGTGATGATCTGGATGAAAATTATATTTTTCAACGAAAGCAATATTTCAGATGAACTCATATCTTCAAAAGTTATCATTTCCAGTAGAAGCACGTACTGCGCAAAGTGAATCAACTTTCGCTTTGTCGGCTTTCACAGTTTGCTTAAAACATGAGATTCCCTATTTGCTCGAATTAAAAAAAACAGCTGAGCGTAGGTTTCAGTATTTTTCAGTGTGTATTTTTTTTTGTTACTTTTAATTTTTATTATAATCGATTGTCGTCCTCTTTGTTCAAAGCTATTTCTATTTTTAAACGCTGAATCTTTGTTATTTTATATTATTACTCCATTTTTCAGTCAGTTTATTCAGTTTAATTAATATTATGAAAAAATATTTTATTTGAATTCGAATCATCTGCGAGAATTATTTTGAATTATCTTAATTTCTTCGAATTTTTCAAAAATTGTTATTTACAAGCACAGTTTACTGAAGGATATAAAGTAAAAATTTAGGCTCTAATTCACATTCACCATGTGATCAGGATACAACTGTTGATGAAACTGGCCAAGAGGAAGGGCAGGATTTGTTGGACCCATATGATTTTCAAGACATGATTTTGCAAGAATTCGCTTCTGATATGTCAGAAAATATAACAAAAGGTATTCATGTTCAAATTTTGTCAGAACTTTTTAGCCTTTTACCTTTTAACAGCTAAATTTAGGTTTTATTATTAATTTTATAATTCTGAAAATAAAAATAGAAGTAGAAATAATATTATCTTGTCATAAGCACGAAATTTATTTGTTGTGTAAGTTATTTTAAAAAATTTTTTTTTTGTTTTATTCAATTTATAGGTGCTACAGCTTTTATGCTGGATCAGATTCAGCAAGATTGTGAGGTAATTTAATAATATGGATTTGTTTAGTTCGGCAATAAAAATTTACAGTGAAGTTTCATGAATTTGTTAAATTTTTTTATTTATTTTACTTTTGGCATGGCTCAATTATTGTATTAATAGTCTTAATCAACAATCTTATCTGTTTTGAATATTTTTTGATCGAGATTGCCTTTCTATTCCCTCGAATTTTTAAAAATTTTCTTCCTGAGTTTCAGTAAGCATTAGATTTTATTTCTAAATTTATTTTTGCTTCTTTCTCTGATCTTGTTATATTTTTTAGGCTAATACGACTAAGTCGTTGATGGAATCAGTTGCTTCTGAAAGTATTTTTTTGACCGAGAACATGAGCCAGACACTTCCATTTAACGCTAAAGAATATTTAATTTCCATGAAAGAATGCGTGGAAAAATTTATGTTGGATTTTCAAGTATGTAAACATTTGGAATTGTTTTTAACAGTTTTAAACTAATTTCTTTCAATATCA